CAGAGATTCTGGAAGAATTTAGCAGGTTTGTTATTGTCCATATTTTAAGGGAGTTTTCTTTACGATGGGAAAATGTTTTATTCTGTTTCTTTAAGTTCCCCAAGAAGTCTGAGAAATGTTTTTTATGATAAATTTGTTAATACTTTTAGCTAAAGTTTTTATCCATAAATGTAAGTTTACTAACAAAACACCACATTTCTGTCATTATTTAAGGATGTGCAAATGCACATACAATCAATATCAGACTGCACCAACAAAAAACAATATTTATGTGTATTTTTGCATGTATTCATATAATTGTTACCTTTTTCTTTTACCCCTGGCTTTGTGTGTTCATGTTCTGTCCTTTTGTATACTTCATCTGTTCGTATGTTGTATACTCATTTTTGTTAAATAAAGTTCTTTAAAAAAAGTGTGTTAGACACAGATTCAACATGTCGGTCTTGAAAATACTGCGTCACAAACTCTAGAAGCGTTACAAAACACACAAGTTATTGTAGTTCACTAAAACTGAACTCAGAAATAAAACTAGATGTGGAAAAGTTAAAACAGAAATAAAAACTAAACACAAATTAAAATGAAATTATTGATAATGATCAGTGAAATTGGAAAATTAAGTTTGGCAAAATGAAAAAACATTACCAGATAATTAGACATCAGGTAGGTCAACAGGTGAAGTCAGATGTTCAGACAAGTCATGATTCTTTATTCGTATACAAGTACAACACGCAGTGAAATGTAACCTGGCTGCTCCTCCACTTGTGCAAAAGGGGGAGAAGAACATTATATATTATACAACCCTCGAGGTTAAAAATGGAGGCGCTCGTGCTTCTTATATTAAACCCTCCATTAGGAACCTTGGTGTTACCTTTGACCCAGCTCTGACACACACGTTAAATCTTTGGTTCGCTCTTGTTTTTACCATTGAAGAAATATCACTGAGTCCCATTGTGTCACGCTCTGAACTGGAAATGATTCTTCATGCTTTTGTTTCATCTCGCTTAGACTATTGTAATTCCTTGTTTACTTGCTTAAGTAACGCCTCCCTGGAACGACTGCAGGGTGTTCAGAATGCTGCTGCCAGGCTTCTGATAAAGCATCACAAACACTCCCATGCCACGCCCCTGCTGATTCAGCTGCATTGGCTCCCTGTCAAGTTCAGGGTCCATTTTAAGATCATAATCATGACTTATAGGTTCCTGCACGGTGTAGCTCCAACTTAAGTGATCTTCTTCTTCCTTATCACCGCAGCAGGTCCCTGAGGTCTTGTGGAGAGCCCACATGTCCGCGGCACAGATGGTCAGCAGAGTCTGAGCCCAGCATGGCTCTCAGTTAAAAACCTTCTCCAGGAACTAAAGGCAGTACAGTACACAGCTGTTTCACATCTTAAGCTTCACACTCCCAGAGTCCTCGAAGCCACAAAAGTCTCTTCTGTGGAGTTCCTGTTTCCCCCAACATCCTTACTACACCCCCACCATTTGTCTAATGCTGGGCGCACACTGTGCGATCTTTGGCCCATTTTGAGCCGATGAGTCGTGCGACCGTTTTGGTGATCGGCCCGATTTTGGCCTTCATCGTGCGTCGTGTAGTATACGTGGGGTAACGAGACGCGATTAGCACCTCACGACCAGCTCCCGATCATCAGTCGCTCGGTCAAAAAATTAAACCTGTTTGAAATCCTCGCGACCATCGTGAGGGTGTCACCGCAGTTTGTCACACTGCTCACGCACAAACACAAATGTAGGTGAAAAAGACGGAGCAGCACGGCAGCGTGTGATCTGGACACAAGCGGTGGAGGCACAACTTGTAGAACTTTGGCTCATCCGAGCCTTTTCGATGTGGCCTCAGAAATTATCACGACCACAACAACAACCGTGAAAATAGTTGGATTTACTCTGCTGCTCAATCACAGCTGCCTGATCAATGTTTTTCATTAGCAATTTAGCAAAGTTGATGGTGGCGTGTGTCTGTGTGAGTGAAAGACAGAGAGGGAGAGCGACAGAATTTCTGTTATAACCTTCATGTTATGGAGGCACAGTGTGAGCACTCAGGTCGATCAGAGCATCGGGCCGTATAGTGTGAGACCTGCATCGTGACCTATGACCTTCTAACCCCTGTGAGTCAATCGTGCAGTTTGAGCAGGAGCTGAATAACGTGACTGAAAAAGTCGCACAGTGTGAGCCCGGCAGTAACGTCTGAGTGTGAGACATGTTAAAACCCAGTGGCACCAAGGCATCATACAATAAGATAATGTGATTAATACATCAGTAAAAGAATTTCCCATACACACTATGCTGAATATTGTTAGACTGATAACTGTTTTCAGCAGTGAAGCAACTTTAGTAACAACTCTGGTTGGCACTCACATTTATCCTGACCACAGAGATATTAGTGTGAAGCTTTTGCAAATGTTGTTCACACATGTTGAACTGACTGAAGCTTCCAGTCACAGTGAATCAGTGTGTGTCAGTGAATGCATCGTGTGTGCTTCAGGCTCCATCTAGTGGGCTGATAGCAGAGCAGCTGATGGCAGCTTCCTCTGCCTCACACTGCTGTCTGACTGCATCCAGCTGACACTGAGATGAAGCAGGAAAGAAGCAGCTGATGTTTGGACAGCACACATGATGGACATCAGCTGATGTGCACATGAATGATTTGTGTTTCCTCTGCAGGTAGAAAGTGTGTGTGAGCTGAGCAGCATGGATCAGTGTGAGGACAGAGAGGAGGGAGTCCCTCCCTCTAAAAGCACTCTGTGTGGGGAACATGAGAGCCAGACCAAAGCTCAGAGGTGAGATGACCATCTCTAACTGTCCATGACTCTTCTCCATGTCACAGCTCAGCACTCACATCACTGCTCCATCATTATTCACAGGGACCAGCCTGGACCTCCACCCAGCTCTGTGTCCTGTAAGAGTGACCAGTCTAAAGATTTCTCCATTGAATTTAAATCCCAGCCTGAGTCTGCTGCATACAGGTGAGCTGTTACCATGTAAAAAACTGTTTACCTCTGGGTGGCGCTCTGTTCTTCCTTTTGCTCATGCTCAGCCTGCAAACAAGTTTATTTTTGGAACAACGAAGGGATTCTGAGTCTTCATCAGCTTCTGTTGCTGCAAATGAAAAACACGTTTTCCTTCTCTAACAGGGTCTACAAGAGACGTGCTGAACCTCTACACAGCTTTTTTTCTGACTTCACCTCCAGTCGTAGCACCAGATTTAGAGGAAATGTCAAACCTGCAGAGAGGTGAGCTGTTAGTAACGGGAACTCTTTGATTAAACTGCTTGATGTTGTTGGATATAAACTGCAAACACGTCGTTCCCTCAGTCCCATTTAAACTGTCTCTTTAAAACAACTGAAAATCCACTTCAGCAAACAGGAAGTGACGCTCTTGCTCATGTTTTCTTCATCAGTCATGCTGTGCTGGATGTTGGAGGAAGTTAGCATTAAACTCAGTTAAGCATAGATATCACTTATACTTAAACTCAACCATCAGTAATTACTTCTTAGATTACAGATTATATTATATATATTTTATTATAGATTATAGATCAGTTTGAGTTTCATAGAAAACAACAGTAAGCTGCTGTCTGTCTTTAATGCCAAGAAGACAGTTTTCTACCAGTAAAATAAAATCACAAGACAGTTTCTAAAGAAATTAAATATCAGCTGTTTATCAAACCGGTTCACTACAGTCAATAATGCACAATCAGGGGATTTGTCTTTAAACACAAAGGAATCAAACTTTGTCATAAGAACCGAACATCTTGTCTAAAGATCAAAGATGAGAAACCATCCCCAACAATCCAACATCCCCATTTGTCCACCCTTAAAATCCACCCTACTAAATAAAAATGAAATAATCGTTCATGCTGCCTGTTGGATGTCTGTTCTACTTAATGAACTGTTCAGTAGGATTAGTTACCTTTGATGCTTGAATCAATCCAATTATCAGCACCAGAAATTCATTAGCAGTTCCCAATAATTTGTTTTTCAATTCTTTGCTTGCCCTGAAATAATAAAGTATAAGATTTAATTGAAGACGCATTTATTTACACACAACACAACATCTTTTGCTTTAGGCTTTGACACAAGCAGTACACTGCATGTACTGGACTTCCTTTAGTTAAGTCCAGAGACGTTTCCAAGTTCCATTGACTGAATGCTTGATTTATGCTATTTATGCTTTCTCCTCCCTATATTTTGCTCTTTGAGGAAGGAACTCTGAGAAATATGTATGCAACGTGGTCGGTCAAAACCTCTGACTCTTACACGATGAATCCAAAACAACAAAACAAGACTCGCTGAGAGGCAGAATCCTGGTTACATTTGTGATGACACCACCTCATCTTAAAACCTGCCCTGGTTGTAAATTATCCTTTTATTAGGTTACACAGACAGAAAGGGTGTAACACAGACAGTGGAGCAAGTACACGAGTTATTTCTTTCCAAACTAATGTACAGACCCCTGAAAAATATATTTATCATTTATTTTTTATTAAAACATTTACAGTTAAATAATATAAACAAAATTTATTTCCATTGAAAACATTTTATTGAATGACAGGTTGAGTTTAGATTCTAATCAAAAGATTAAAATATGCTCACAACAAAAATCAACTGACTTTCTACTGTAAGATAAAATGTACAATATTAGAGAGACAACAACAATTAGGTGATCTACTATGAGCAGCATCTGGTGACAATGGGAAGGAAAAGCTACATTTTAACAGGAGGATAGTTCTAACAGAACCATGATCAGGGAGGAGAGTAGAGAAAAGCTTCAGTGGAAAATGACTAACAGATGTATTTTTCTCTCTGTCAGAGCCGGAGAGAGTTCCTTGTGGTCTTCCTCTCCTCTTAGAAGGAAGGACTTTTCTGAAACAGAGTATGGATCCCTGGGAAGTGATCTGTTCCTGGGAAGTGATCTGTTCCTGGGAAGTGATCTGTTCCTGGGAAGTGTTCGGTCTCCGCTTGTGTCTCTGGGAAGTGCTCGGCCTCTTCCAAGTGCTCGGTCCGTGGACTCTGTACCGTCCTTTGCAACAGAAACGTGAGTTATAACTAAGTTGTGAATGTGACTTTCATGTGTTAAGTGTTAAAGTATAAAATGTTCAAAATAGATAAATTATACATATAATTATAGAAGTTATAGTATATTATAAATATACAGTGGGGCAAAAAAGTATTTAGTCAGCCACCGATTGTGCAAGTTCCCCCACTTAAAATGATGACAGAGGTCAGTAATTTGCACCAGAGGTACACTTCAACTGTGAGAGACAGAATGTGAAAATAAATCCATGAATTCACATGGTAGGATTTGTAAAGAATTTATTGGTAAATCAGGGTGGAAAATAAGTATTTGGTCACCTCAAACATGGAAAATCTCTGGCTCTCACAGACCTGTAACGTCTTCTGTAAGAAGCTTTTCTGTCCCCCACTCGTTACCTGTATGAATGGCACCTGTTTGAACTCATCATCTGTATAAAAGACACCTGTCCACAGCCTCAAACAGTCAGACTCCAAACTCCGCCATGGCCAAGACCAAAGAGCTTTCGAAGGACACCAGGAAAAGTATTGTAGACCTGCACCAGACTGGGAAGAGTGAATCTACAATAGGCAAGCAGCTTGGTGTGAAAAAATCAACTGTGGGAGCAATCATCAGAAAATGGAAGACATACAAGACCACTGATAATCTCCCTCGATCTGGGGCTCCACGCAAGATCTCATCCCGTGGGGTCAAAATGATCATGAGAACGGTGAGCAAAGATCCCAGAACCACACGGGGGGACCTGGTGAATGACCTGCAGAGAGCTGGGACCAAAGTAACAAAGGTCACCATCAGTAACACACTACAACGGCAGGGAATCAAATCCCGCAGTGCCAGACGTGTTCCGCTGCTGAAGCCAGTGCATGTCCAGGCCCGTCTGAAGTTTGCCAGAGAGCACATGGATGATACAGCAGAGGATTGGGAGAATGTCATGTGGTCAGATGAAACCAAAGTAGAACTTTTTGGTATAAACTCAACTCGTCGTGTTTGGAGGAAGAAGAATACTGAGTTGCATCCCAAGAACACCATACCTACTGTGAAGCATGGGGGTGGAAACATCATGCTATGGGGCTGTTTTTCTGCCAAGGGGACAGGACGACTGATCCGTGTTAAGGACAGAATGAATGGGGCCATGTATCGTGAGATTTTGAGCCAAAACCTCCTTCCATCAGTGAGAACTTTGAAGATGAAACGAGGCTGGGTCTTCCAACATGACAATGATCCAAAACACACGGCCCGGGCAACAAAGGAGTGGCTCTGTAAGAAGCATTTGAAAGTCCTGGAGTGGCCTAGCCAGTCTCCAGACCTCAACCCCATAGAAAATCTGTGGCGGGAGTTGAAAGTCCGTGTTGCTCGGCGACAGCCCCAAAACATCACTGCTCTCGAGAAGATCTGCATGGAGGAATGGGCCAAAATACCAGCTACTGTGTGTGCAAACCTGGTAAAGACCTATAGTAAACGTTTGACCTCTGTTATTGCCAACAAAGGTTATGTTACAAAGTACTGAGTTGTATTTTTATTATTGACCAAATACTTATTTTCCACCCTGATTTACGAATAAATTCTTTACAAATCCTACCATGTGGATTCATGGATTTTTTTTTCACATTCTGTCTCTCACAGTTGAAGTGTACCTCTGGTGCAAATTACTGACCTCTGTCATCATTTTAGGTGGGGAACTTGCACAATCGGTGGCTGACTAAATACTTTTTTGCCCCACTGTACATACCTGTCCACTGGTTAATTACACAATCAGGTGGACTTCACAGCATACTCCTAACCTATTATATGATTGTGTTGTAGCACACCATTGTTGTTCTTGTGACATTACCAATACGTTTGATGTGTCACATGACCCTCTTCCTATTGCAAAAACAAAAGTTGTATCCAAGATGGCCGACTTCTAAATGGTCACCATGGTCATCGCCCATCGCGAGGAGTTTGCCCCCTCACATATACTAATGTGCCACAAACAGGACTTTAATATCACCAACCATTCCCATTTTATTACGCTGTATCCATATAAATGGCCCACCCTGTACATTGTTATATTTAGTTTGTTTTTATTTATATATATAAAAAAAATACATCAAGAAGTCACAACCAAACGGAGAACACACAATGGCACATGTTTATTCATCAAAATTATTTATTATTAAAATCAACATAACATAATTTTTTCACCCCTAGAAAAAAACACAAAAAAACATTTTCATATCAGCCCGATATCAGACAGAAGCTGTCAACTCAGCTCTGGAGAGTGGGCAATCATAATGTTTGCTCTCAGTTTTGAGCCCTATTAAAGATTAATATCAGTCTGTACATGCTGCAGATAGTTTTTCTACAAATTCTTTATTTCTCTCTCGCTTTTGCAACTTTGTACTTTTGTGTTACTCGCAGCAACAACTCCACCTCATTGTTAGTCCATTTAAAAAAACTCGCTGCTTTTCCTCAACATATTGCAGCGACGTTACCGGTAAGTAAATAAACGGCAAACAGAAATGAGGCAGGTCGAATCATATTATGTTTCAAACATGCGCAGTCCCGGAACATAAGCGTTTCAGTTGTTTCAGTGTGGACATACAACTGCTTGGAAACGCGTCCGGAGCGTTTTTAGACAAAAACGCCGTTTTCAAATCGATCCAGATTAGTGTAGACATATCCTTTGTCTTTAAGACATTCCTGCAGTTTACCTAATTGGTGTGTGTTATCTGGCTTCATGGACAGAGTTGGGTGTCATCTGCATAGCAGTGAAAATGTATGCTTGTTAACTCCACCTTGATTTTCAGTACTCTGTCCTGGGCCTCCTAATTGTTGACAATGGATGGTTCTGCCTCAGGCACCTTTTTTCTTCAGCTTTCTGAGGGTTCATGTCCCATTTTGCCTTCGGTGTGGTCTACTGAGAGGTTTGGCTATCATGTTTTTTCTTTAGGCTTACCAGTTTTGGGTCACTCATTGACAGTCTGGTTGGTCCAGAGATGTTTTTCCTAATTTGTAATGTAAACTTTAGTCTCTGCTTTACTTTTGGTGTTTCTTTAGAACAATAACTTTCCACTTAAGTTGAGATTTTAGCTCATTTGCTTTGCGTACAACTTTTAAGCAGACCACTGTTTTATATGGTCAGTGTTCGAAAGAATAAATGCAGTGTTCTGACCCAGACTAAGCAGGAAATGACTGACTTTGTTACTGAGATTTCCACTGTCATATTTCAGAATCAGGTTCTAAAATTTGCAAATGGATCTGAGATCTTTCCTTTCTTTATCATGAGCCAGAAAACCTGTTTTTAGTAGGTCTACAGTTTGTTTTAACAAATTCTAAGCCAACATGTGAAGCTACAAAGACTAAGTGCTGAGTATACATCCTGAAACTAGCCAAAGGAAAAAAGATGTTTAGGGAGGGTGGGCTTAAAGGGAAGAAGCTAAAGCTTGTTTCGGTCAGGGGTCATTCCATCTGATCTATTTTTCTTTATTTTTTTTAACCTTTTCTCCACCACTATTTCCAATTGAATATTAAAAAGTATATATTATGGTCCAAAGTTCAGTACAATGACAATTTACCAGCTCCTCATTGGTTTCCATTAAGCTATACTCCTAGAATTATGTTTTTACTAGTGGGTTTTTCTCCAGACTTAAATCTATTTCTTTTAGTTAACCATGAATTGTATTCTCCACTAACACTTTTTATAATGTTACTTTTCAGACGGAATCTCTGTAACCTGTCAGAGGGACACCATGAAGCTCTGTCCTCAGCTCTCAGCTCCCAGTCCTCCTGTCTGAGAGAGCTGGACCTGAGTAACTCTGACCTGCAGGATTCAGGAACAAATTTTCTTCCTGATGGACTGAAGAGTCCACACTGTAAACTGAATATTCTCAGGTCAGACCAAACTATATTTACATAAGTATGTATGCATGTATACCAACTGACAGAATGAAGAAAAAAAACAGGATTAAATATTACTAACTGTAATAACACCTCATTACACTTAAACAAACGTGTTGTTTTATTGTTTATCTGTTATTTTTAAGACTGAGTCACTGTAAGCTCTCAGAGAAAGGCTATGAAGCTCTGTCCTCAGCTCTCAGCTCCCAGTCCTCTAGTCTGAGACAGCTGGACCTGAGTAACTGTGACCTGCAGGACTCAGGAGTGAAGCTTCTGTCTGTTGGAGTAAAGAGTCCCAACTGTATACTGGAAACTCTAAGGTCAGATTTAAAACCTTTCTGCTGATGATCATTTAAAAACGTTATATTGTTGAAATATGTCTGTGAAGGTTCTCAGTCATCCAGGTCATCGTAGTCTAAGGAGCTGGAAAGAAAAGCGTCTGAACTTGTGTAAGTTGCTTGAAGACGTTTCACCTCTCATCTGAGAAGCTTCTTCAGTTCTAAGGTCAAATGGTGGAGAGTCCCAGATATAAACCTAGTGGGAGTTTCCCCCCACAGAGGGACAAAAGGACCCCCTGATGATCCTCTAATCGCCTGAGCCAAGGTGTGAAACTGGGTGTGGGTCCCAATCAGCCAGAGTTTCGGGTGAGTTCATTGTGAAACCTGGCCCCACCTTGTCATGCGAATTCCTGAGGTCAGATGGCCCAGGATGTGAGTGGGCGTTAAGGCGTCTGGGAAGGGATCTCAAAACTGGATTATAGATGGCAGAGAGTTGGTGTCGTAAACCCCGCCTCTGTTTAATGATGGTCGCTCACAGTGGACATAGATGCTTCTTTCACTCCTCTTTCAAACCATCTGTCCTCTCTGTCCAAAATGTGAACATTGGCATCCTCAAAGAGTGACCTTTATCCTTAAGATGCAGATGGACTGCTGAGTCTTGTCCTGTGGAGGTGGCTCTTCTGTGTTGTGCCATGCGCTTGTGAAGTGGCTGTTTGGTCTCTCCAATGTAGAGGTCTGGGCATTCCTCGCTGCACTGTACAGCATACACCACATTGTTATGTCTGTGTTTTGGCGTTTTGTCTTTGTGATGAACCAGTTTTTGTCTGAGTGTGTTGCTGGGTCTGAAGAAGCTTCTCGGATGAGAGGTGAAACGTCTTCAAGTAACTTAAAGAAGTCCAGACGCTTTTCTTTGCAAGCTCCTTTGACTACAATGACCTGGATGACTGAGAACCTGCACAGACATCTCAGAACTGGATTTTAGATGTTAGGAAGTCCATAAATCCAGGGTATGGCATCCCCTGGGTAAAGGCGGTGATATGTGAGGCGGGCAATGATTTTATCCTTCTCAAAGTCTTGAAGGCAAGCTATAACTTTCTTTTTGTAGCTGCTTGTGGGGTCTCGCTTTAAGGCTTCGTAGATATTGTTGTCACTGAGGAGAGTAGTGATCTTTGTATGGTAATCTGTAGTGTTTAGGACCACGGTGCATCTTCCCTTATCAGCTGGTAAAACAGTGATGTTGTGGTCTTTGCTCAGGGAAGCGACGGCCTTCTTTTCCTGTATTGTGAGGTTAGATGGAGGGACTTTGCCACTGGAGAGTGTGGCTGAAACTTTCATCCTGATTTGCTCTGCTTCTGTCTGTGATAATTTATTAATCCGCGTGGTGGATTCTGTGGCTGTGATGAGGTCCACTATGGGCAACTGTTGAGGAGAAATGGCAAAATTGAGTCCTTTGGCTAATACTCCCTTTTCAGGTTCAGTGAGAATCCTGTCTGAAAAGTTCTTAACCCATTTCTCCTGACTGACTTCAGGTGTATTTTCTTCTCTGGGTTGTGTAGGTTCAGGATGAGGAGTGTGTGTTTTTGAAAGCAAGGTGTGGAATTTCCTGCGTTGTCTTTCTTTTCCTTTAGAGTGTTGGGCCCGCTGAGCCTTGTCCACAAACTTGTAAACCTCTTCTAAGATTGGAGAGGGTAGAAGGGTTTCCAGTTCCTGCAGGGTCTGGCTGATCTTGCTCTGGAGGGTATCTATAGTGAAATGGACCTGTCTTATCACTTAGAAGTTGATTTTGTGCTCGCCCTAAAATTAACTCTGCTCTGTATCCCCTGACCATGGATCCAAGCCCCGTACTCCTAGGAACAACTCTGCTTTGTCTTGTCTGCATCTTAAGTTGAAAAGGAGATGGTCCCTATTATCCGCTAGTTACTGCATAAAGATCTAACTTTTATAGAATTGCCAACTGACCTTTCATTTGCCTTTAGGTGGATTACTTGACTTTTAATTATTGGGTTTTCATAATGATTTTTTTTACATGTTTATGAAGCCAAAATTACACACACAGTCATCTTAACCAGTTACTGTCCCTCCATTTACAAAGGCAGAGGCGTCACGCTGTGATTATTTTACATGTAGTTGTTTTTCCTGTGTAATAATGTTCAACATTGCTATCAATACATTTTTCAAAAAATGTCTCTCTGTGCAAAATGGGTTTAAAAACACAAACAACTGTGGGATACTGTTTGTAGTGGCAATTCCTTTACTTTTAAAAGTTCAAACGTCCCACAACTTAAAGTCCACAAGCCACTGCTGCATTGAGGTAATATTTCGTACGCAGGCAAAAGAAGTCCATTGTCCAAACCTTTTAGTTGAGAGTTTTGGTTTTGGTTTATTTATCCATTTGGCAAGCAATAACAAAATCCTTCCTGCTGCTTCTCCTGCTCTGGTAAAAAAAAAAACATAGGCCCACCCCAATGCATGCTGGTCCTATACCAGTCTCTTTATTTATAGAAACAAAATGGCCCTACAGCTCTTACTGACTAATTTAACAAAATAACAACAAACAAACAAATCATTTAAAACAAAATATTAACCAACAAATAAACCCCAAAATATAAATAAACTAACACACTTTAACTAATTTCAAAATAATAAAAAATAAAGAACAAATAGCTCCAACACTCCGGCCCCTAATTGTGCATACAATCACAATTACTTTAAAGTCCCAAAAGGAGGAGCTATTCCCTTAAACAAATCCTTAATTTTCACTGAGGATTTTCTTCACGATGAGGCTTCCAGTAGCAAAATAAGTTTTGTCACTGGCCTTTCCAAAACACTGGTCCTTGTTTGTAGTCTCACAGAACGCACCAAGCCTTTTGCATCCTGGTTTACATTTAAGACTTTCGCCATCATCCATGATCCTCTTGGAGCTGTAGCGTCTGCAATTAACACAACATCTCCAGGTATAAGACATCTTTTAGTCCTCATCCATTTTTATCTTTCTTGCATCAGAGGTAGGTACTCAGAAAGCCATCTCTTCCAAAACAACTCTGCCATGTACTGTACCTGTTTCCACCTTTTCCTGACATGCAAATCACTTGGATGAAACAGTCCTGGTGGAAAAACTGGTTTATTTTTCAGCAACAACAAGTGATTGGGTGTCAGTGCTTCAAGATCATTTGAGTCATCTGAAACTTTAGTAATGGGTCTGTCGTTCATTATAGCTTCAACCTCACAGAAGACAGTTTGGAGTCCTTCATCATCCAGAACTTGCTCCTTAAGAACTGAGGCTAAAATATTCTTTATTGAACGAATGAGACGCTCCCACACACCGCCTTGGTGAGAAGCTGCTGGGATGTTGAAGTTCCATTTCATGCCATCCTGAACAAAAGCCTTTTGAATTTTGGCATGGTCCAGCTCAGTCAAACTTTCTTGAAGAATAGCTTGTTCTGCCTTTGCCAAGTCTTCTGGAGTGAGATTTCCTTTCTTCAAAGTGGTCTTAAATCTTTCCATTCTTATCTCCACTTCTTTCTGACCTTCTGGATCATTCTTATTCAAACCTGCAGCAAGCAACTCTTTCCTCTTCTGTGCCAACAACACCAAGACCTCTTTCATCTTTAAAAGCCAGGCTACAGAGATTTTAAGTTTTGCCCAAGACGAGAAGTAGAGGATAAACTAGCTGGTAGGATTTTGTAATTCCCTCACAATGGCATTCATTGTCAGGTCCCTTTTGACCTCTGGGTCATCTGCAGAAATTACACTGTACTCCACATCCAGTTTAGGCCATTCCTTTTCTGACTCATAGAGAAATTCTGGCCCTTTTATCCATCTCCTACATTTGAGGAGATCCCCAGCTCTCATACCTCTGGATGCGTCATCTGCAGGATTCTCCTTAGAAGAAACGTATCTCCACTGATTCACATCTGTTGCTTCCCGAATGACAGCAATTCTGTTTGTAACAAAAGTATTGAATCTTCTGGTTTCATTGGAGATGTATTTCAGTACTGTTGTGCTATCAGTCCAAAAAACTGATTTTTCTAACCTGACTTGCAGCTCCTTTTGCAGAAGCCTGTCCACCCGAACTGCAAGAACTGCAGCCGTCAATTCCAACCTGGGAATTGTAGTTTGCTTGAGAGGAGCAACTCTAGCCTTTCCCAGGATAAAAGCAACATGCGTGACGTTATTCTTTTCCAACTTTAATACCCATCTTGACTTGCATCAGAAAAATGATGAAGTTGTGCCCTATCTGGTCTTCCAAAGCAATTTGGTTTAATGCAACGTTCCACTTTAAACTTTGAAATCATCTGGAGATCCTCCAGCCAATCACGCCACCGCTGGGAAAGAGAGTGGGGAATAACTTCATCCCACTTCAAATTTTGTCGGCAAAGCTCTTATAGCAACAGTTTAGCTGGCATACTGAAGGGAGACAAGATTCCCAAAGGATCATACAGTGAGCTGACCACAGACAAAATGCCCCTTCTGGTTGTTGGACGGTCCTGCAGGGAGGTTCTGAACTGGAACTTGTCTGTTGCTATGCACCACTGTAGACCCAGTGCTCTCTCAACTGGAAGTTGATCTGTCCAATCCAGATCCTTAATTTCCTTTGCTCTTCTTTCCTCTGGGATTGACATGAGCACTGTGCGACTGTTGCTGATCCATTTTGAAAGCTTAAATCCTCCTTTAGCGCAGATATCTGTCAGCCTCTTCACCATGTGCACTGCCTCCTCTTCTGAAGCAACAGATTTCAAACAATCATCCACATAAAAGTTTCTTTCGACTGTATCAACCACTTCAGCTGGAAACTGTTGTGCATTATCATCTGCAGTTCTCTGTAGAGCATAATTTGCACAACTTGGCGAAGATACAGCTCCAAACAAATGCACCTTCATCCTGCATTCCTGTGCAGACCTTGAAGTGTCACCATGTTGCCACCACAGGAAACGGAGAAAGTTGACATGTTTTTCTGAGACGTGAACTTGGTGAAACATGGAATCAATGTCCGCCATTAATGCAACAGGCTCTTGTCTAAATCTGATCAGA